CAGGGAAACCCCCTGGAATAATCCCCCTGGAAAAATCCCCCTGGAAAAATAAATTTTTTTTTTTTTTTAACGAAACTTTTAGGGAATTTAAAGAGACGATTTGTGACGTCACGTTTATTTTACAAATAATTACTCGAGTATTTTTTTTTTTTTTTTTCAAGTGTTAAAAAATCAAACATGGCGGAAAATTTTTTTTTAAAATTCAAATAAAACGTGCGGCCCCCCAAAATTTAAAAAAAAAAAAAAACATCAAATAATTATATAATAACTTTTAATGGTTTTAGGTTTGTTAAATTTGCCAAACTTTCTATAAAACTTTTAAATTAAAACTCAATTGTCAAATATTTTAATTTGGCTTTGAAACAAATTTGTTTGTATTAACACAATCGAAAAGAAAACAAACGACAACAACCGACAATAATAATAATAATAATAATAATTATCGTTATTATTAAATTAAAATCAAAAATGAGTAAAAAGTGACGAGAAATTATTAGTAAGTAAACCGTTTGTTTACAAACAAACAAACAAACAAAATACTCACAAATTATTAATTAAATTTTGTACAAACAAATTATAATTACTTACGATAATTAATTAATTAATTTATTTATTTATTTATATAAATAAATAAAAATTTCATTCACAAATAAAAAAATTGATTTTTTCAATTGATTATCATTGATATCACATATTCACCAAACTTTTTAAAATGAATAAAAATAAATTATAAAAAAAAATTTCTTCTCATTTATAAATAAACTGGAGAGAGAGAGAAAGAGAGAGAGAGAGAGAGATAACACTATCAAAAAATTATTATTATTATTATTATTAAACATGCGAAAAAAAAAAAATTAATTAATTAATAAATAAGTAAATAAATAAATAATAATAAAATGATTCTGAGAAATTTCCAGGTTTAAAATTTATTTTTTTTAAATGGAGGGGAAATAAGGTAGGGGTAGGGGTTGTAGGGGAACCGACCTGGAAATTTATTTTTGTTAAAAATTGCATTTGGTGGGATAAAAAAAAAAAAAAAATTTTTTTTAAGATGTGAGAGAAGGGATAGTTTATACACAGCTTCCGCATGGATCTCGCGAATAGGAAAACGAAAGTGTTTTTATCTCTCTCTCTCTCTTTCTCTCGTTTATTTTTTATCTTCCCCCACTTTTTATCTCGACATTTTATTTTATACATAAATGATTTTTTCTCGAATGTTCTTCTCGTGTATATTTTTTTTTTTTTTTTTACGCGAGATTTAAAATTAAATAAAAAAAAAAAAAATTTTTTAATTCATATAATTATGAAAATCATATTTAAATTTTAAAAATGGCCGACGAAATTGATTTGATTTTTGCGTGTAATTCATAAAAAAAAAAAAAAATTAAAATTAAAATTCCAGAATAATTCCAGACATTTCCCCCCACTCCCCCTAATTATTTTAATCGTTCAGGTTTTTCACCTAACCTCCCTATTATTTATTTATTACTATTATTTTCATTATTTATTTTTTTTAATAAATGAAAACAATAAAAAAAAATTCGGAAATGAAAAACGTGGAAGTAAAATTAAAGTTTCCGCTCTATCGAAACGATAATTAATAATAATAATAATAATAATAATAATAATAATACTAATAATAATTTTGTCATTGGAAAAAAAAAAAAAAAATTTTTTTAAAGTTAAAATGCATCAATTACCGATTTGCGAATGACGTCAATTTTTGTGCATAAAAAAAAAAAAAAAAAAACGACGCGTGACGTATTTGTTTACAAAATATTATTATTATTATTATTATTATTATTATTATTTTGTGTGTGATTTTGCCCGTGAAAAAATATTCAAAAAAAATTTTTATGGATTCTCGTTGTATGACGGTTATTATTATATGCACGAGGTTAATTTAATTGCAACGAGTACATTTTAAAATTTTTAAAAAATATAAATTTTATGCCAAATTATCCTCATTCGAGAAAGCAAAAAACAAACAAAAATAAAAAAATATAAAAGAAAACCTTGGAAAATTTGTTTTTTTTTTTTTTTTTTTTTTTTTTTTTTTACTATTTTTTTCCCGACTTTAAAAAAAAAAAAAAAAAAAAACCTTAAAGAATAATTTTGGCAAAAAATTATATTAAAAACTTGGAAACGTATACTTACCCACCGTGTGTATGCGTGTGCGTGCGTGCGTGCGTGCGTGCGAATTAATATTTTATTTAAATAAATTAAAAGGATTTATTTCTTTTTCTTCTTCTTTTCACTACTACTACAAAGGTCATCATCGCATTTATCAACCTTTTTCATTGTTTATGTTTAAATTCTTTTTTGTTTTAATCTGTAATACAAAATAAAATTAAACAATTTAATTTAAAATTAAAATTTTATTATTCGTATTCATAAAAAAAAATACATAATTATTAATTTTAAACGTGTCACTAGATTTCACGACACGTTATTTAATATCTATCTACATATATATATAAAATTACTTTCGTTCTTATCAAAATTTTTAAAAACTATTATTTAGAAAATTTAAACGCCTTAAAAATTTAATTTATGCAACCACAACAACAACAACAACACATCAAATAACAATAATTCGTTTTAATTTTTTTTTTTTTTTTTTTTTTTTTAATATTTAACAAAAAAGAATTTGAATGATAAAAGGTACGTATATATATCATTATTATTATTACTACTATTACGATTTCATATAAAAATTAAATAAATAAATAATAATAATAATAAACACACGCAGAGACACATTAAAATCGACCTTTTAAAATTTGTCATTATTATTATTATTATTAATTATCAAACATTGAAAAAGTTGTTATCTGACCTTAATAATAATTACACACACACACGTATAAAATATAAAAATTTAATAAATATATGCGATTATTAATAAATAAATAAAATAACAAATAATTTTTGTTTGATTTTTAATTCCAATCAATAAAAATAAATGTTTAAATAAAATATTTGAGTTGTGTAAAATTAATAATTAATAATTAATTGATTCGTTAATAAATATTATTATTAATTGATTAAGTTAATAACACGACGATGTCAATATGTTTTACCTTTAGCTTTTTTTTTTTTTTAAAAACGTTTTTGTGGAAAAAAAAATTAATAAAATTTTATGAAAATTCACATCACTTACATTATCTTACAAACATTAAAATAAAATAAAATAAATTAAAATAAATAAATAAATAAGATTCCAAGTAATCGTTTGTACTAAAAAATTTCACTGTTGATTAAACGACATAAATTTAAATTTATAAAAACTCATTTGACAAAAAAAATAATAATAATAATATTACTTTTTTATTAGGTGTAAATAAAATGGCCGCAGTTATATGGTTGCTTACGTCCGGTCCTCTTCTCTCTCTCTCTCTTCATTTACGTGATTCGAATGATTCCACCATATTTTAAATAATGTTATTTTTGTGCCAAATTCTTATTCGAATTGAAAATATATTAATAACAATAATAGCAATAGCAAAATCAATTTAAAAATTTAAAACGTTCTTTGAATATATACATATTTTTTTTAAATATTAAAATTTACAATTAATAAGTATTATTAAAAAAAAAAAAAATTTGTTAAATGTTATTTACCTTTTATGGTTCTTTATATATTTTTAATATTGTTTAAAGACTTTATAGAAAATTGTTATCATAATTATCAGGCAAACTTTACAGTTGAATGTTACAGTTTAAAAACAAAAATGGTGGCACATGAAACTTGATGCCTGCAACCAAAATAATCACCTGATAGGTTCAAAATATACCTATAATTCAAAATATTCAGTTATCAGTCGTTATTCTGATGGTAGTAATAGCAAACCTTTTTAAATTGAATTGTAAAAATTTTGTAGTTTAGTAAATAATTAAGAAAAAATTTACCCAGAAAAAATGTTTGCATGTAAGTTTAGCATTTTGTTCTGTAAACTTAATATTATCTAATAGTAATTATCAAATACTTTTTGCCATAAGTTCATTATTAAGAAAAGTAACAATATTTACTAATTTAATATAATAATATCAGCAAATTTAAAATTTAAACTTAACAAATTGAATATTCTTTGTTTTTCTCATAATAATAATAATAAGTTGAAAAATATCATCGTGTGAGTATATTTTTTGTTTATGAAATCAAATTAAAGCTTTTTGTTTTTAATTATATGCAAAACGAGTACTTTAAAGTCCTTTTTTTTATCAAAGAAATGAAAACTTAACGTTTTTACTTTTTAATTTCATTTTCTTTTGTCGAATGAAAAAACCGTTTTTTTCAAAAAATTTTTATCCCGGCGAAAATTATTAGCTTATATTCACAATTAATTTCGACTTTTATTTTTTCCTTTATTTTTATTTCATATTAAATTTTCGGTAATATAATGATTTAATAAATTTTTATTTTTAAAATAGTTTATAAAAATGAAAAAATTATGGGACGGCATGGGGGATAAAAGAGTGAAAATGTCAAAAAAAAAAAAAAATTCATTCGTTGTGAATTAATATTTAAAATTTATCGAGCTAAGATGAACAATGACGCGCAGAAAAATTAGCGTCTGCTGCTTTTTCAAAGGCGGTGGATTACCTCAGGTGTATTTTATGTAAGGTAAATAAAAATATAATTTTTTTATATTATTCTAATATATTTCACTAAAAATTATTTAGTTTTCTATTAAAAAAAAAAAATGATAAATCATCTCGTTTTAGTAATATAATTTTTTTTTTTTTTTAAATTTAACATTATTATAAAATTTATATAATTTTTGATTTTTTTTCTTCTTTTCTTTATTACTTGTTAACTACTTGCTTTGAAACTTATAAGATTGCCTTGAAAATTTTCCTTAAATTTCGTAAAGACATTTTTAATATGTTTTATTTTTTAAATAATTATTTTAATATTTAATTTAAAAAAATTTTTTTTTTTTTTTTAGAATGTCAATTATTTTTAATAATTAATTCGAGAAGATAAGTCAATTACGATGACTGATAAAATTGAAAAACCTGATTTAGATGGCCGAGAGGAAAATTCACAGGGAAAAGAAGATGAAGAATTATCTGCACTTTTAGACAGTATGTTTTTTAACTTTTTTATATAATTTAAACAAATATCTTATTATTAATTTAATGAATGAAAATATGAAAGTGTTTTTTTTTTTTTTTGTTTTTAAAGTTATTGTAAATAATCACTGTAGATAATTAGAAAACACTTTATATCGATAAATATCTAGAAATCTTGTTGTATAATTATTTGTGTAATTTTATTTTAAAAATTTGTTTTTTTAAAAAAACTTTTATTTATGCAGGTGCTTTAGAAGATTTTAATAAATCAGATAAGCCAGCAAATACAAATGATTCAGTTGAAGTCACTAAACCGGAAAGCAAAAGACCAGATCCCCCGTTGAGTTTGTGGAACGAAGAGTTTCTACAACAAACATCAGCAAGATTTGAGCAAAATATTCAAGCTTTATTTTCACCAGGTTTTATTTATTTTTAGATATAAGAAACATTTTAAATTATTAATAATTTTAAATTTTTTTTTATATTTCAAAACTCATTGGCAAATTTTCAAGTAAGGGCAAGTAAGGGATTTTCTCATGTGTATTTATAAATTATTTCAGGTTCCGATGGTATGTTTTCTGTAGAACAACTCGGAGAAAACATACAAAGATTAGCAGAAGCTGCTACACAAACTGCTGGTTTTGATGCATCTCCAGACACTGAATTTTCTAGTATAATTGCTCAAACATTGAAAAATTTATCCGAAAATGCTGAGAACATACAGGTAAGTATTTATTGAAATCATTCGATAATCGATTCGGAACAAACCATTTACTCTTAATTTTTTTTTTTTTGAACAGAATCAGTTGACTGATGAAGATTTAATGAATTTGCTTGGAACATTTAGTAACATAACAGATTCAAATCAAGATGGAAGCGATTTATTACCGATGATGCAAAAAATGATACAAAATTTATTGACAAAAGATGTTTTACATCCTGCTCTCTCAAGCATTGTCGAACAAGTTAGTTAATTTAAATTTAATTAATGTTCACACATGTATTCACAATCCATGTTGATTTTCTTTTTTAAAAAAAAAATTTTATTTCAGTATCCGGAATGGTTAGAAAAAAACAAATCAGTTTTATCATCGAATGATTTTGACAATTACACTCAACAGTATAAATTAATGAAAGAAGTTTGCGAAGAACTTGAAAAAGAAAAACCGGATGACAGTCAAGAAGTTAAAAATACAAGATTCGATCAAATACTAGGACTCATGCAAAAGGTGATGATTTCTACTACTGGGAAAAAAGAGAGAGAGAGAGGAACGCAAACGTTAATTTAAATTATTATTATTATTATTACAGATTCAAGATTGTGGACAACCTCCGGCCGAATTATCTGGAAATTTGGGACCCATGTTAAGTCTCGACGAACATGGAAATCCACAGATACCGCCCAATTTTTCGCCGAGTCAGTGCAATTTAATGTGATAAGGTTGTAAATACTAAACGAATAAGAAAACATTTAGTTACAAGTAATAGGTAGTTGCGTGTAGTAGGTAGGTAGGTAGTTTGTTGCTACCAAACTACAAAATTAGTCGAATGGGTTCCTCATAACGTTAAAACGGATTTTGTATTTAGGGTTGTAAGTCGACGACATCATGTTGTTCGGTCATTATAGTCAAGTTTTGCGCTCTTGAGAATGTCTAAAAAAAACCCATTTTTTTTCTTTTCAAACTCTTTGGATCAGGTGGTGCGATCAGGTATCATAAATGTCAGGAGGTGACATTTTTAGTGCCAAATTATTTTTTTTTTGGGTTTATTTTCCATTTTTCGTTTTTTTCCCGCATTTCTTTCTTTCGTTAATAATAAATTTAATTGATTGGTTTGGTTTTTTATTATTGTGAATGGCGCGCACGCCCCCCTCCCCGCTCTATTCACGGATCCCTCTCTTCGCGTAATCGTCAAGCAAAAGAAAATTTTTTTACCAAAAGGTGTATTTAGGTGTAGTTAATCAGGGTCGAATTAAGGGATTTTTAAAAGTAATTTTTTTAAAAATAGGATTTTAAAATGAAAAAAAAACATTACATTTTTTACTGAGAAAAAAAAATTTTTTTTATTATTTATTACAAATTTTTTTTTTTTTTTTTACAAAAAAAATACAAAATGATGATAATGATAATAATAATATTTATTATAATTATTATTATTTAACGGAAAAGTGTTTGAACTAGCATACATAATATTTATTTATTTATCATTTTTATTATTGTTATTATTATTATTATTATGTCTATTATAAATTAACATTGGAAAAGTTTTTTTTTTTAAATTCAATTTAATGATTGATTGATTGGAAAATCAATCAATGTGTGGCCAACGTGAGCCAAAGGAAAACACATTAGAAAAGGGAAGGAAAGGGGGGGGAGGAAATGTAAATAATAAAT